AACAACATAGGACAGTGAGCCATAGACTAACCACTATCCTGTTACTAACTTAATTATTTTCTTTGTTGGGACCTTCAATCTTGATTGCTCAGTTGCTAGTCCCATTTCACCTTCACATCAGCATGACACACAGTAAAAAAAAAAATTATTTTTGTTTTGAGGCAGGGTCTCACTGTAGAGCTCTGGCTATTCTGGAACTTGCTCTGTAGACCAGGCTGGCCTAAAACTCAGATCTGCCTGCCTCAGCTTTGTGAGTGCTGGGATTAAAGTTGTGCACGCCACCACTACCTGGCCAATAAATTTTTTAAAAATTCTTGTTTTTTGAGACAAGGCTCACTGTATAGGCCTGGAACTATGTTGCTCAGGCTGGCTTTGAACTTGTGGCCATCCTCCTGTCTCTTTTTTTTTTTTTTGTTTTTTTTTGAGAGAGGGTTTCTGTTTGTAGCTTTTGGAGCCTATCCTGGAACTCACTCTGTAGACCAGGCTGGCCTCAAACTCACAGAGATCGCCTGGCTCTGCCTCCTGAGTGCTGGGATTAAAGGTGTGTGCCACCACTGCCCTCCCCCCCACCCCCCCAGACAGGGTTTCTCTGTGTAGCTTTGAGCCTTTCCTGTAACTCACTTGGTAGAGCAGGCTGGCCTTGAACTCACAGAGATTTGTCTGCCTCTGCCTCCCGAGTGCTGGGATTAAAGGCGTGTGCCATCACCGCCTGGCTCCTATCTTTTAAGTGCTGTGATTATACACCCAGCAAATTCTCCAGTTTAAAAGTCTATGTCCTTACTCTTGTAAAGCATTTGTGAGTGAACAGCTATTGAGTGCACGGGAGCAGAGACTATTAGCAAATAAAAACAAGAGGAACACAGGAAAGAATACCTGCATTGCAAGAGTACAGGAGTTCGGATATCCAGCGCCCATGTAAGCCCCCGCTTATGTCTGTATCTCTGGGGCTGTGGGTGGTTGACAGACTGCAAGGCCTTACTGTCTGCCAATCACACAAGTGCACATACGAAATTGGCTGAGGAAATAGAGGTGTAGCTTAGCTAGTGGAGTTTTTGCCCAGGAGTTTCAGTGCTGGCGAAATGGAGGCAGCACTATAAGTTCATGACCCATCCTTGTCTGTGGCCAGCCTAGGCTATATGAGATGCTGTTTCTTTACTTTCTTTCTTTCTTTGGTTTTTCGAGACAGGGCTTCTTGTGTAGCTTTGTGCCTTTCCTGGAACCCACTTGGTAGCCCAGGCTGGCTTTGAACTCACAGAGATCCACCTGGCTCTGCCTCCTGAGTGCTGGGATTAAAGGCGTGCACCACCACTGCCTGGCCAAGATGCTGTTTTAAAAGATGGCTGGCAACAGATGCTCATTCCATCTGTGATGCAGGAGACTAAACCCTGTCCCCCTCTCCCCAACCAATCAGCATTTGAGGCTTGTATGAAGTGATCTCTTTCTTCTTCCCAGGGGTCTGTGATGTCAATCATCAGAATAGAGCCGGCTATTCTGCACTCATGTTGGCTGCACTCACTTCTGTAGGGCAGGAGGAAGAAGACATGGCTGTGGTCAAGAGACTTTTTGGCACGGGTGATGTCAATGCCAAGGCTAGCCAGGTGCATAGTACACTACCACTCACAATGGGTGGGTAAGGTGGTGTCATTTTCTACTTTCAAACCCTCAGACCTCTTTTTCCAGACTGGACAGACAGCCCTCATGCTGGCCATCAGCCACGGCCATCAGGACATGGTGGCTGCCCTACTGGAATGTGGGGCTGATGTTAATGTACAGGATGCCGATGGGGCTACAGCACTGATGTGTGCCAGCGAGTATGGACGCCTTGATACAGTTCAGTTGCTGTTGGCCCAACCAAGCTGTGACCTAACCATCTTAGACAATGTGAGCTACTCACTAGTAGGGCCTAGAGTAGTGGTGTTGTGTTGCACTGTAGCCCAGGGACCTAATGGCCTATTATTTCTCAGGAGGGAACAAGTGCCCTGGCCATTGCGCTGGAGGCTGAACAGGATGAAGTGGCTGCACTACTCCATGCTCACCTGACATCAAACCACCATAGCTTCCAGGTAAGTGTAGTCCCCAAGAAACAGACAGATGCTAACAACCTTCAGAAGCCTCCTTTCCTGAAGAACAAAGATTGGAGAACCTCTGCCTGAATTCTACTGTAAAGCATTTGATGCTTAACTAGCAAAACCAGTGGTAAACACAACTTTAGGTTAGAATCGCACACATGAAAGGCATACCCTAGCTACCTGTTGTAGGAAGATTTTCCTGTTAAAGGAGCCCTTTGCTGTAGGAAGAGCTAGAAGCCTAGAGGCTTGGTAAAAGTTTGCTCCAGCAGGGAAGTGTGCCTGGGAGAACACACCCTATGGGTTGAGCATTGGACACCAAGTACTGGGTTTATTCTTGGCCTTTTTTTGACTAATTCACCCAACTAGGCCCACACTTACCCTGATATACAGTAGGAATGGAGGTCTAAATGGAATCAATTCAGGCAGCCTGGCTCTACAGGAATGGAATGTTAACTATTCCCACATCCTTAACAACCCCTCCTTCATGGTGGCCGGAAACACTTTCTACAGAACCCCTTTTTTGTTCTAGGGCCAGCCACCCCCAAGGTCTCCCACAGGCACACCCAGTGAAGCGATGCAGTGACAAATGAAGGTTTGTGAGCTGCTATCTACACCTGGACTATAGGAGACACCTTCCTCTTATGCCTGAACTTCCCAATCACAGCAGGGTGCCTTGTACTGGAACTCCCAACCCATTCACTTCATAAAACACCTTTCCTAATAAAGCATTTCTACTGAACTTGTATTCTGTGTGGGTGGCAGTAACACATACACTTTATCCCATGTGCAAAGATATACCTATGAAAGGGTTTTCAGAGTAAAATGATCACTGGGGCTATAAAGCAAAGACACTACCCTGAGAAACCTTATTAGAAAGATTCCAAGTTCTAGACCAGCCTAGGCTTCAAGAGGAAAAAAAAGACGAGTTAAAACAATACAAATGCTTTATTTAATAGTTGCAGGTCATCATGGGCCAAGTGTTGGATATCCAGGACCCTGTGAACAGACCCAAGTATTAAATAGAGAACCTTTTCCCACTCCCAGCAAACGGCAGTTCTTCCCAGGGGTTGCCATATACCCACCAGCAGCAAGGTCAGCGCAACCTCCGAGCCTCTCTTTCTGATTCCAATAGGGTGAGCACATCACCCTCTCGGACGGGGCCTTTGACGTTTCGGATGATAGAGCGGCTGGTGTCATCCATAAATTCCACGCGCACCTATGGACCCATTAGAAGAATTAAGTGCTGCTACTTACTAGTGGGGTGGAAAGGTGCTATGGATCCAGAGAACAATAGAGCTTGGGGTGAGATGGCTCAGCAGTTATGAGCTTTTTTGATCTATCAGAGAATCTGGCTTCATTTCCCAGCACCCACAGCTTGCTACTGGCCTGTTAAGTCCAGCTCCAGGGGAAATCTGATCCCCCTCTTCTAATCTCTGGACATTATCAAGTGGCAGACACATAAAGTGGAAACAAATTCCCCACCACCAAAAATCTGGGACAATTAAAGGGTTTATATCAGAACCTAAGAAATCCTGTGAGATCCTGGGTAACCGGAGCACAAAAGGGATGTGTCTTTTTCCTTCTCCAAAAATAAGGTCTTTCATATCTCAGAATGGCTCCAATGCCTGCCTCTACCTCAATTGCTAGGATGACAGGCATGCAACAGCACACCTAATTTATTCCGCCCCACCCATGACAGGGTTTCTCTGTAGTTTTGGTGCCTGTCCTGGATCTCACTCTGAAGACCATGCTGGCCTTGAACTCAGAGATCTGCCTGGCTCTGCCTTCTGAGTGCTGGGACTAAAGGCCTGGCGTAATTTTTTTTTTTTTTTTTTTAAAGTCAGGGTCTCACTCTGTAGCCCTGGCTAGCCTTTAACTCAGCCTTCCTCTGTGCTGAGATCAAAGAGACCCAAGCCAAGGCAGGGTCTCACCCTGTAGCCCAGGCTTACCTTGAATTCCTGATCCTTCTGGAATTGCTCCACCACCCCAAAATACCTCCTCCCCACCTCCAGTGTTTAGGCTTCTATCTTTGGGCCTCCCGCTTAAGACTAGGCCAGGATGGCCCAGAAATACGGAATTCTCCTACCTCAGTCTTTTCAGTAACCTACGATAGGAGACTTGGGTATAATCCAGATTATTTTTTTCCCCCAGGAGTAGTCAAGGCATCTCTAGCCCAGGCTGGTCTCCTAAGAAGATATAAGGCATACCCCACCATTCTTGCTTTATGTGGTGCAGGGGACCCAAAGTCCTGCATGCTAGCCAAGTGTCAAGCTTTCTTCCGGACTAGATCTCACTCATTCTGTAGCCTAAGCCTGCCTGAATCTCCCAGGTATCTGCCTGTCTTAGGTTCCCTGAATTACTGGCGTGGGCTAGCATCTGAAATTTTAGTATGAGTGCAGTATCCCGTCTTTGGGTTCTGCGTATGCCAAGCCAGTCTACTACCGACACACAGCTCCAGCCCACTCCACCTTTTTAAAAATAAAACGTTCAAACTGTCTCAAGGTATTCAGGTTGGCTACTAAGTCCTATCCTTAGTAAGCCTAGCAGTTAGGATTAAAGGCCACCAAGTCCAGCAGTAACTGAATATTTAGGAGGGCTCAGACCCCAGGAAGTAGTCCGGGTGTCCCCACCCGCTCACCTGCGTGCACTGTCCCTGCGAGCCGGTCCTGCCCAGCACTTTGGTTACCTGCAGGAAAGAAGGGACAGTTAGATCCGACAGACCCAGCTCTCTTCTTTCTCCTTATCCAGGCTTCTAAACACCTGCAGTCACCTCACCCTAGCCAGCTTGATGGGTTGCACGCGACTCGTGTCCATGATGGCGGCGATCTGGCGGAGAGGGGTCACGTGAGCAGGGAAGCGCTTTTATAACACGCTCTTGACCACGCTCGACTCCCGCTCTCGCGAGAGCGCTCGCGCTACCCAGCAGTCTGCGGGGGCAGAGTCGTCACCAGCGTCCTTCGGAACGGAAGAAACATGGCTTCCGCTACTCGCGTTATCCAGCGGCTGCGGAACTGGGCGTCTGGAGTGAGTGTTCCGGTCCGATTGTGGTCGGGAAGGATTTAGGTTCTGTGCTCCTCCGAATCTTCTACCGCTTCACATCTCATTAGTTCAGTGGAGAGTCCAGGATTCCTCAATTTGTGACTCCATTAGCCCGGGACTCAAGGTCCTAAGTGTTATCTGGTCGGGTTACCGGGATTCCCTTGTCTCCATACCTCGGCTTTAGATTGCCTAGCTTTAGCTTCTTCCTGCCCCTCCTCCTCTCCCGCCCTTCTCTCCCCGCCTCACTTGTCTCCCATGTCCCACTCAGTTCCGGAGTTCCCTAGTCCCCGTATCGTAGCTTTGAATCTTATGGCCGTAGTTTTCTCATGTTTTGGAAAGTCGAGGAAGAGTATTTAGGTTTCGCAAGAAAACTAAAAGGCCAGGGAAGTTGCAGATTTCGGCAGCTCCTGGTTGGAGATGTATAAGAGGAAGAGAGGTAGCCATGCCATTTATGTTTGGGTCCAAGAAAGGCATATTCAGCACAGCAGGTCAGCAAGCAAATGTTCAGGTGTGTGGATCTTCAGAGAAAGTGAGAATTTCCATGTTAGGGCAAGCTTGTTTAGTATATTGACCCATATCTAAAGAAGATAAAGGGAGAAGGAAAAGAGGGAGCCTTTTAAAGTTAAATCTTGGAAAGGCTCAAAAACTTGGTAAAGTTCTGTAAGCCACTGCCCCAGCTTTCTTCATTTGCAGCGCCTATATCCATATCTTGACTGACCACACCTGTTCACTAACCCAATCCTGGGGTTCCCAACAGTCTGACCTCTTCTCTCTTTCTCCCACAGCAAGACCTGCAGGCGAAGCTGCAGCTGCGTTATCAGGAGATCGCCAAGCGGTGAGCAGGCCTTGCTTGCTGCCCCCCCCCCCCCCAACTCATCCTGCCGTTCTTCCACCAACCCTAAATCTGAGGCTGGTCATAGTGGTATAACCTTTACTCTCAGCACTCAGGAGACAGAGGCAGGGTGATTACTGTGAATTCAAGGCCTACTTGATTTACGTGGTGAGTTCCAGGCCAACCAGGGCTACATAGTGAGAGACTGTCTGAAAAACAAATGAAAAAACAACCTCTTGGCTTTTGCTGGGTTTAGAATGAGCTTCTCTGTGAAAACTCAGCAGAAGCCAAGGGGAGCATCTGAAACAGAGCACCCAACCTGGCCCCAAATTTGTCGTGTAGTCCAGAGTATGCCCTCACACTCATGATTCTGCTTCAAGTGCGGGGATTCCAGGAGTGTACCACCGTACCAGGTTTATGTGGTGCTGGGGACAGCTTCATGAATGTTAATCACATAAATTTAACTATGCCTTAAATTCTTATACTTGTCTTTTTTTCTTAAAAATATTTTTAGATTTATTTTTACATGTGTAAGTGTTGTGCCTGCATGAGTTTATATGTATCATGTGTGTGCCTGGTGCCTGTGGAGTTCAGAAGATAGCATGAGATCTCCTGGAGCTAGAGTTATACAGATGGTTATGAGCTACCATGTGGGAATCAAATCCTGGTTCTCTGCAAGAGCAACAGTGAGCCATCTTAACAGCTTCCTATCCTTACTTCTTATGTGGATGTTGTCTAGGAGGGAGAAACATTGCAGAGAAATAAATACAGTATGTATGTACATACATACACACACACACACACACACACACACACACACACACACACACACACACACAGGCTTTTTGAGACAGGGTTTCTCTGTGTAGCTTTGCGCCTTTCCTGGAACTCACTCTGTAGCCCAGCCTGGTCTCGAACTCACAGAGATCCTCCTGCCTCTGCCTCCCTAGTACTGGGATTAAAGGTGTGTGCCACCACCACCTGGCTTATTTATATTTTATTGAGACAGGTCTTTGAATGTAGTTAGCCTGAGCTGGTCTCTCACTCTGATCTGCCTGCCATGTGCTGGGTTGACTGGGCATGTGTTACAACACCTGTCCAGAGGCAGAGTCTTACACTGTATTCCTGATTGGGCTTGGATCACTGTTATATGGCTCAGGTTGCCCTTGAACTCAATGAGATCCTCTAGGGGAGATGGTTCAGCAGGTTACACTGAGGTACTGGCTTACAGGCCAAGAACTAGCAGCTTCTTTAGGATGAGGGCGCCCTCTAGTGACTCATGTGGGTCTTGGCATTAGATGACTGGTTCTTTTTTACTTTGCTGTGTACAGATGATGAAAGCTATGGCTTAGCATATACGTTTTTCAGGCAAATTCTAAGTTTCACATATTGTCTGTCCTTTTAGAACTTTATAATTGTCATTTTTTTCTTTCTAAAATTACTGCATTTGTGTGTGTGTTTGTGTTTGTGTGTAGGTCAGAGGAAAACTTGTGGGAATAGTTCTTCTTTCTCTGCCATTTGAGTCCTGGAGATTGAATTTAGGTAGTCAGGTTTTTGCCCAGTGAGCCATCTTGTTGGCCATTACTTTGTTTTTCCTCTTAATTGTTTGTTTGTTTTCTGATACAGGGTTTCTCTGTGTAGCTTTGAAGCCCTTCCTGGAACTCACTCTAGTCCTGGCTGGCTTCTAACTCACAGAGATCCGCCTGCCTCTGACTCTCGAGTGTTGGGATTAAAGGCGTGCACCACCACTGCCTGAATTGTTTTCCTTTTTAAAAAATTTTTTTTTATTTTATTATTTTGGTGTGGGTGTTTTGTGTGTATGTATGGCTGTGCACCACATGCATGCAATATCCTGGAGGCTAGGAAGCATTGGATCCCTTGGAATTAGAGTTTCGAATGGTTGTGAGCCACTATATGAGTATTGGGTCTTCTGCATGAAGAAGTACTAACCATTGTGCCATGTCTCCAGCCCCCATTGTTTTCTTCAAAAGACAGGGTATCGCTATGTAGCTTAGGCTGTCCTGGAACTTACTATTTGGCCAGGCTATTCTTCAGGTCTGGACCTCCCTCCTACTTTGGTCTTTTGAGTACTGAGACTACAGTGGTGTACCCAGTGTCCAGCTATGTTTCTCATTTTATCCTATCTTTTCTACTTTTGTAATTTTAAGAATTTTTTTTGGGGAGGGCTGGAGAGATGGTTCAGAGGTTAAGAACACTGGCTGCTCTTCCAGAGGTCCTGAGTTCAATTCCCAGCAACCACATGGTGGCTCATGACCATCTGTAATGAGATCTGGCGCCCTTTTCTGGCCTGCAGGCAGAACACTGTACACATATTAAAAATAAATAAATCTTAAAAAAATAATAAAAAATTTAAAAAAAAATTTTTTTTTTTTGGGCTGGGCAGTGGTGGTGCATGCCTTTAATTCAGCACTCAGGAGGCAGAGGCAGTCAAATCTCTGAGTTCAAGGCCTCCCTGGTCTACATAGTGAGTTCTAGGATAGCTAGGACTGTCACACAGAGAAACCCTATCTTGAAAAACAAACAAAAAAAATTTTTTTTTTCCTTTCCTTTGAGACAGGGTTTCTCTGTATATCCCTGGCTATCCTGGAACTTGCTTTGTAGACTAGTATGGTCTTGAACTCAAAGATTTGCCCTCCTCTGCCTCCTAAGTACTGGGATAAAAGGCATGTGCCACCATTCCAGGCTAATCTTAGGGAATTTTAAGCTTGGCGTAGTGGTGCAGGCCTTTAATCCTAGGGCTGGGACACAGAGCTGGTGGATCAGAATTTGAGGCCAGCAGTCTTGGTCTACATAGAATTTCAGGACAGCCAGAAACCCTATCTTAAGGAAAAAACAAACAAAACATAAAATTAAAAAAAGATTTTATTTATTTATGTGTATATGTGTCCGGGCATGTAAATGGAGATGTGCATGTGTGCATGCAGAGCCCAGGAGAAGGCTCTGCTTGTTATGTGTGTGCTGGGATCTGCACTCTGTTCCTTATGATTGTATAGCAGTCACTCTTAACGGCTGAGCCACTCTCTAGTTCTTTTTTTTTTTTTGTATTTTTGAGACAGTCTCATGTAGCTTGTACTGACTTGGAATTCATGTTGCTTAGCATGACCTTGAACTGATTTTCTTGCTTCTACCTCTCAACACTGACATATTTTTTATTTAAGAAATAAAATGGCTTTCAAATTTTTGAGAACTTAAAATTGCCATAGAAAATGTTGTTTGACAGTGTGGCCAAATAAACAAATAAATCCCTAAACTTTTTACTGTCATCCACTCTGTCCCAGGCAATTCCTCTTTTGTTTGAAGCTCAGTGTTTTCCTTTCACAGCTTTAGATTTCTTGGTAAACCCAGAGTTTAACCCAAGACTGGACTGAGCTTTGTTCCACATAACTCTTCCACTTCCCTCTACAGGGAATTTTGGCAGCAGACCAGACAGTAGCAGGAAGTACAGAGAGTTGGACAGGTTCCCAGGGCAAGGTGTTCTTTGAGTAGTAAGCCTTTATTCCAGCAGGGCTCTTCAAAGGGTTCCTGAGATAATAGGGAACTCACAAGTTCCATAGCCTGGCCTTTGGGGGGTGGGAGCTGGGGGAAGCCACTTCAGTCGGATAATCTGGGGCAGTGGCTCAGTGTTATGGATTGTAATTGCTGGATAAGGGGTGGTCACAGCTTGGCATTCTGGCCTAATTTCCTGAACACATTTAGGTGGAGGGAAGGCTGCTGCTAAGCTTAGCTTTGGGTTGGGGATAGGATCATGTCTAGGTTTCTCCTTGTCTTGGGAACTTCAGGAAGGGTCCTTTATAGTGACTTAGGGTAACTAGGCTGGAGCATACTTCCTCAGCCTGGCTTTGAAGACTTTTTTAATATAGATCAGTGTCTACTACTTGCTTTCTGGTCCCAGACCTAGGCATGTAGTGTGGTAGTGTACTAAGGCATGCCTCTGGCCTACAGCCCTCTTTGTAGCTCCTGATCCTTAGTATTGTAAATGAGTTGTGGCAGTGAGAGCTTCTGTAGGTTTGTTTCAATACCAATATCTTTTTCCTCAGGACCCAGCCACCTCCTAAGCTCCCTGTGGGCCCCAGTCACAAGCTGTCCAACAATTACTACTGCACCCGTGATGGCCGTCGGGAAGTTGTGCCTCCTTCAATCATCATGTCTTCACAGAAGGCCCTAGTGTCGGGCAAGACAGTTGAGAGGTGAGGATCCTCAATGTTCCCTGCCCAGAACTCTGCAACAGTCCCTTCTGCCATCGGCCTTTCCTTCCCTGTAGGTGGAAGGGTGCTTTCCACAATCCCATTTTATCAGCTAGGTGTGTTTGGACAGGCCTGTGATCCCTATACTCAGGAGGCTGTGGCAAGAGAATCAAGAGTTCAGGCCAGGGCTGAGAATATAGCTCACTTAGTAAGCTACTTGCCTTTTAAGCACAGAGACCTGAGTTTGATCCCCAGAACTCACATTAGAAAAAGCCAGGCCTGGTAGTACATTTATAATTCCAGTGTTGGGAAGGTGAAGATAGGCTGAGGCAGGAAGCTTGCAAGTTCCAGGTGATTATAGTTAGGGGCAGTCTTAAAACAAGTTGGGGCAGGTAACATGGCTAAGTGGGTAAGAGTACTTGCTGCCAAACTTGATGACCTGAGATTGATCCCCTGGATCCATGTGCTGGAAGCAGAGACCTGCAAATTGTCTTCTGCCTTATATATACGTGCTATGGTATGCCCTTAGCCCCAATAAATTAATCCAAAAGTAATGATGATGCTAAAAGAACTCCAAAGGAACCCAAGAGAAAAAACTGTATTTGGTTCCTGTCCTCAGGTGCCTTATATTAAACGAGGATGACGGTAGTATTACACCAGGTTCATAGGAGGCCATAGTCTGGAATGAGTTTCTGTACTAGATCCAGTAGACCAAGACAGAACAGACACTTAAGTGAAGATTAGTTGTTTATCCAGCCTTCTGAGAAATCAGGTGAAAGATCGCAGTCAGTTCCCTGGCAAACCAGTTTTAGTTGGCATGATAAAGAAGTCCCCAGTAGTTTAGCCTTTGTAAGGAAGGTAACTTTGAACTGACCAATCTTTTTGTTTGGCTTCTGTTTCCTTCAGCTCTTTTGTGTCTATAAAGCCAACCTCTTCTCTATCAATTTTTGTTTTGTTTTATAGAATGAGGCGAAAGGGCTGGTGATATTGCAGCAATTAAGAGCACTTGTTGATCTTGCGGAGGACATGGTAGGGTTCCCATGGCAGCTCATAACTTTCCTAAACTCCAGTTCCAGGGGATCTGATGCCCTTTTCTGGCTCTGCAGGTACCAAACATGCAAGTGGTGTACACACACACACACACACACACACACACACACACACACACACACACAGACACAGGCAAAAAAAATAGAATGAGATGCTGAGGCCAGATGCAGTGGCACACATCTTGCATCCCAGTACTCAAAAGGCAGAGCTTGAGGATGGCTACAAGTTGGAGGCCAGCCTGGTGTACATAGTAAGACCCTGTCTCAAACAAACAAGCAAGTAAGCAAGCAAACAAGCAAGCAAACAAACCAACAGACCCAGTAAAAAAGGGCTGGAGAGATGGCCCAGTGGTTAAGATTGTGTAATGCTCTTGCAGAGGAACAGAGTTCTGTTCTCAAGATACCTGTGTAGATGGGCTTACAATCTGTAACTCCAGCTTTAGGGGATTCAGTGCCCTCTACTGGATTCCATAAGTGTTATGTACTCACGTACAGCACCCCTCCCCACACTCCTTACATGTTACTTTTTACAAAAAAGATGCTGAGGTGATGGCTCAGTTGGTGAAGTTCTTGCAGAACCTGGTTTTGATCCCCAGAATCTGGGGGGAAAAAAAGCTGATTAAAAGATGTACATTTGTAATCTCAGCATTGTGGTGGCAGAGATAGGTAGATCCCTGGGCCTGCTGGCCACCGAGCCTAGGAGAATTTCAGACCAAACAGAGTTCCTGGCTCAAGGAAAGGGTGGATGTTGCTTGATGAATGACACTTGAGGTTTTCCTCTGACTTCCACATGCATGTGCGCACGCGTGCGCGCAGACACACACATTGACACAGCCACACATAGAAGCATGCACACACAGAATGAGAGACTGACCAAGAATTGGTCACAAAGAAAAGCCAATTAAAGATAGAGTATGTTTGTTGTACTTTTGTCTTTTGACCATAGCTTTTCCTTAATGAGCTGATGAATAGAGTTCATACCATACTTGATTTCTGATAACTCTTGCAGAACAGAATTGATGCCCAGAGAGTTCAATAGCCTAGGCCATAACAGCTAATTTACTGTGAGGTTCCAGGATACTCCGCAGCTTTTTCTCTTTATTTAAGGTTTTTTTTTTTTTTTTTTTATACTGGTTATGGTGTCACATGCCTTTAATCCCAGCACTTGAGAGGCAGAGATAGGCAATCTCTTGAGTTCGAGGCCAGCCTGGTCTAGAGGGCAAGTTCCAGAACAGCCAGGCCTACACAGAGAAATCTTGTCTGGAAAAACAAAAAAATTAAGATTACTTAAAAAAAAATTTACTTTTATTTTATGTATATGGATGTTTTGCCTGCAAATAGGTCTTTGCATCACATACATACCTGGCAACTGCAGAGGCCAAAAGAGAGCATCTGGTCTCCTGAAACTGAAATGGAATTACAGTCATTTGTGAGCTGCCATGTGAGTGCTGAAAACTGAACCTGGGTCTTCTGGAAGAACAGCCCATGCTGAGCCATCTCTCTAGCCCCAAGATTTATTTTTTATTATTTTAAATAACATGTGTATAGGTCTGTGAGTGCATGTGCCCTCGGAGACCAGAGGTGTTAGATCTCCCTTCAGAGTTACAGGTTCTTGTGAGCCATCTGATGTGTGTGTGTGTGTGTGTGTGTGTGTGTGTGTGTGTGT